AGGGGTCACTCCTGGCTCTGCACTCAGGAATTACCCCTCTCGGTGCTCAGGGGACCATATGGGATGCTAGGAATCGAACCTCTGTCGACTGCGTGCAAGGCAAACACCCTACCCGCTGTGCTATTGCTCCAGCTCCTCCACATTACTTTTTTAAAAAAATTTTTAAAAATTTTATAAGTTAGTTCACTATGGAGCGATAGCACAGCAGTAGGGCGTTTGCCTTTCACACGGCCAACCTGGCCAACCCAAGTTCGATTCCTCAGCCCCTCTTGGAAAGCCTGGCAAGCTACCGAGAGCATCTCGCCCGCATGGCAAAGCCTGGCAAGCTACCGATGACTGATATATTTGATATGCCAAACACAGTAACAAGTCTCACAATGGAGACATTACTGGGTCCGCTTGATCAAATGGATGAACAACGGTAGAATAGTGCTAGTTCACTATATTTGATTGCATTCAATGTTCAAACACCAATCCCATCACCATTATACCTTCCCACCACCAAATTTGGGATGTTTGCATCCCAAACCCCAATCCCTGTCCCAAAACACAACTGAAATAATATATTTTGTATTGTCTGTTATGAAGAACTGCTGAACATGCTTATAACAATGTATTCATATAGGAAACAGTGTGAAGGTTGTTCTATTTTGGCAGGAGCCATTAAGACATTCTATAGGATATCACTAACATGTTGTTAAAGTTTGGGTGATGTGAGCTTTGAGATATATATATATATATCTGAAAATATGTATATACGCATATATATTTCCCTCTATGATTTGTTGCCTACTATCTGAACCCCATCGAATGTGGTATGGTAATTATGGAGAATGGGTCACAAAAATCACAAATCATCCTGTTATTCGTCGATTGCCTCGAGCAGGCCCCAGTAACGTCTCTTTCATCCTAGCCCTGAGATTATATTCAAGGCTCTTTAGGAGAATGAGGCCCATCATTGTTACTGGTATTTGGCATATTGGGTATGCCACAGGGAGTTTGCCAAACTCTGCCGTGTGGGCAGGCTACATTTGGTAGCCGGCCAGTTTGTCCAAAGTAGGAATGAGATAATAAGATGTCATAATAAGATGTTGCGCGGCCACAAATGCGGCTGTGTGGTTCCGGGAGCTGGTTTTTACAGTCTCTGAGTCTTGGCCGTTGATGGGATTACACGGCGCCAGGGGGCCAGTTGGTGGGTGTGACCCCCGCCTACTGGAATTTGGAGGATCTGGGTGGAGGATGCTCAGCCCCAATCCGAGTAGGCTTGGAGATCTCGGCCCCGGAACCTGCATGGCTTTGTCCCTCTGCCAGTACCTTCATGTGTGCAGAGAGTGGTCTCAGCATGGTGGTGGCTGGTCCTGGAGGTCTTCGGCTGCCGAAGGCCTGGTCGGGGCGGGGAGGAAAGCTCAACCCGCTTCCCTCCAAGGGGCCCCAGTGAGGACATCCAGGCATGGGGGCAGGAGACTGCACTGTTCCTGCCATGAAGAATGGGTAGGGAGTGTTTTATGATGTGTCACGGCCAAGGAAGCATGAAAGCAGCCATGTGGACCAGGAATAACAACATGTCCATTTTATTTATTTTGATTTTGGTGCCACACCCAGCTGTGCTCAGGGCTTACTCCTGGCTCTCTGGATCAGTCTTGGTGGAGTTTGGGAGACCCTGTCTGGTGGCAGGATCACAACTGGGTTAGTCACGTGCAAGGAAAACACCCTACTTGCTGTACTTAACTCTCCAGCCCCTAGCTTTATTTATTTATTTATTTTTTAATTGTTGGTTGGGGGCTGTGCCTGGCATTGTTTAGCAGACCAAATGGAGGGCCAGGATTAAACCCTATGTGCAAGGAAGCATTTTCCTCACTGTCCTGTCTCTCAATTCTCCTTCTTTCTTTCTTTCTTTCTTTCTTTCTTTCTTTCTTTCTTTCTATCTCTTTTTCTTTTCTTTTCTTTCTTTTAATTTTTATTAGTGAAACCATGAGGTACAGTTGTAGACTTACAAATTTTTGTGCTTGGCTTTCAGTTATACAATGATCGAGTACCCATCCCTCCTCCAGTGCCCACTCTCCACCACCACTAATCCCAGTATCCCTCCCACCCCTCATCCCCCATCCCCCATCCCACCCTGCCTCTGTGGCAGTTCTCCCACTTTCAAGAACTCTTCAGCATTTCTTTCTCAGCTTCACGTCACCTATTAGTGCTAAGATTACTTGGAGACCAGTCCTAGCAACATCTGATGGTCACGTGGATCTGTGTGACTATAAAGTAAGTAAACCAGTTTTCAACCAAGGGATCAAACAAATCCATCAGGCGAGTTCTCCACTATCCTGCCAACTGGTTCCCCCAGACGGTCATGTACATCTTCTGAGGAGGCAGCCTTGCACAGAAAAAGGCACGAACCTTGTTCTTCTTCTTCTTCTTCTTTTTTTTTTTTAACAATGCATTTTTTTTTTCTAGCTAAATGTCACTCGCCCTCATCTGGTTGGGTTTTAGGTAGGATGTATCATCAGAGAAGTTATATTTCTGTTCGTTTTTGAGCCACACCCAGTGGTGCTCAGGGCCTTCTCCTGACTCAGCAGTCAATCCTGATGAACTGGGGATTGAACCCAGGTCTCTTTGAGCAAGGCAGGTGTCCTATCTGCCGTACGATCTCTTTTTTTTTTTTTAATTACACAGTTTTTACTTGGAGGTTTTGAAGGGAAGGAAGGAGAGAAAGTGAGAGAGAGTAGAGAGTAACCTACTCAAAAGGGAGCCCAGGCTTCTCCAAGGGCGGAGAGAACCCCTACACACATCCCAGCATTAGACATGAAAACATGAAAGTTCACATCTCAAGAGGGGAGTCGCGGGCGGCACATGTGCTCAGGCAACATATGTGCTACTATCTCTTGATAGTTATGAAGAAGTTGTGTTATGTCAGAGAAGTTATGTTTCGTCTCAGCAAAGGGGAGGAGGACGTGGATGACCACGGACAGGATTGGTTGGTGACTTTCCCAAGCATGCAGGAAGACAGAAAGTACCGCCCAGGTTGTCACCAAGTCTAGGAGGCCGCTGGTTACCTGAAACACCTCTGGTGCCCTGGATCTTGGAGGACACTTAAATGCTGGCACTGCTTGTAAAAAAACGAAGTTGCACTGAGCTCAGGCCTCAGGGCGTAAGGTGGAGTTCATTTTCAGGCTTGGAAAAAGAGCGTCGAGCAAGGTATATAAGTTGGCAGGGGCCCTGCCCTGCTGCAGGCTTCCACGGTCTGCCAGACGGCTGTCCCCAGACGGTCACAGGACAGAAACCTGACCCACCCGCCCTCACTCGCCAACGTAGCGAGACTGAAATATCTTCAGCTGGCCTCTAATTTCCACTCTGATACCACAGCACAGGTGAGCACAGCGGCTGGCTGCAGGGTGCTGGAGCGCCTTTTCTTGGGCTGGAGGTGAGGCAGCAGGGCTGGTCTTGAAAATGCTGGAGCCTAAAGTCGGCACACCAGTTCCTCTGCGTCCCCACAGCACGATTTTTGACCATTCGGGACACCGTGTTCTTATTTGGCAACAGGGGATTATGTCTGTTCTATCCCAGAGGTGTGGCATAGATCACGAGACACGTGTAACCGCGCTTTGAAGATCGACAAGTGTTACTCATTACAACTCATGGACAGGAGTCAGCAGAAAATGGTGCCTTTGATGTTTAATTAATCCTAAAAATCTTCCATTACACTTATTTAGCTATAAGTGGGAGGAGGAGGGCAAGCATAATTTTCAAAAGGGACTTTTTCTGCTCCTAAAAATAGAACTCAGAAAACACATATTTGATTTTTTTTTCCCTCTCTGGTGTCAAACCACAGTGTTATTGTTCTTAGCAGTTTTGCAGAATTGTGACCTTCAAAGTTGGGGATATCAAAGGCTGGAAGAAGGATCCCTGGCTCGAAGTCTTTCAGACCCAGGCGCAGTTATTTTGAATTACTGGCTCTTAGCATCGTCCTCCTAAATGAGCACTAGCTGATGGGTCACAGTCGGTGAATGCGCTGAGAGGTTGCTGAAAGTTCTTCTGGGGACAAGGAGGGAAATCTGTTATGGAAGTCCGTGCAACACGCTTTCTGCAATTAAAAATTTACATTTTTCTTAATTGTACATAAGTGCTATCTACCCGGGATCATAATTTACTTTCCGTTTACTGAATTTGTGAATTTTTGCATTTAGTTTTCATTTGTAATTAAGTTTTCTCTATGAGGCGCACCATATGCCACCATTAATTCTTTCTCGTTGAGTCTTTAGGAGATCCATGAGTGCATATTTTGATGCAATTTTTAAAGTCTTTTGAAAATCAAATGACTATGTGTTTAGCCATATGGGCCTTTGTTATTTAAAATAGCGCACGATAAAGTAAGAAAAAAAGCAAAATGCAAGAGGACCTGGTAAGGAAAGTGCTTAAAACATTTGTTTTTGAACACAATTTTCACCCCTCCCCCCCCCCACACACACATTTCTTTTTCTTTTGCATTGCATTTTTGGAATCTCTCTTTAAGCTTCGCGCACCACCTCTTGCAGGCGCTGAATGGACACTCGCAACAAGGGCACTGGGCAAAAGCCAGGGAGTGCGGCCACTGCCCACTGGCTGGGCGCGCGCGCGGGGGGCTGCCTCCTTTCCCGGAGCAGTTCAGCGGCAGACGCCGTTTTTTTTTTTTCTTTTTTCTTTTTCTTTTTTTTTCTTGAACATCTGATGCCAGCATTTGACATTCCGCTCCAGTTTATCCGCACAGACGGCGTCGGGCTCTGAAAGGAGCCGCCGACGGTTGTGTGTGTGTGCGTGTGTGTGTGTGTGTGTGTGTGTGTGTGTGTGTGTGTGTGTGTGTGTGTGTGTGTGTGCGTGCGTGTGTGTTTTCGGTTTTCCGGGGGAGCCACGGAGCCCGCCAGCTGCCTGCCGTACGTGCGGGCTGCGGCCCCGGGCGCGGGCGGGCGCGCGGCGCGCACTAGGACCCAGCAGGGCTCCGGGCCCGGGTGGGAGCCGCGCCGCCGACCTCGGGCAGGCGCCGGGGCTGCAGCCGGGGTTCCGGCCGCGATCGGCTGCAGCTCGGCCGGGAGACGGCGCGACCCGGCGGCGGGGCCAGTCCAGCGCCGCCGCAGCCCCCCAATGCAGCCGCGGGAAGCAGCAGGGGGGGCAGGCGATCGCAGGTAACGAAAACGGGGCGCATTTCCTGCCTCCTGATCTTCTGCTCTGGTTCAGCATTGTCACGAGAGGAGCCCGCACGGTTTCGGCGGTTGCATTGGGGGGAGCCCTTGGAATTTTTTTTAATTTTTTCATCATTATTAGTATTATTATTTTTTAAAGATCTCCTTCCTCTTCCCCCTCACCCCCCTCCCTGTACATTTCCAGTTGGTTTCAGCTTGATTGATAGTATGCAGCCCAGATGGGAGAAGACCCAGGGATGGCAACTTGCATATTTTCCTTAGTTTTGTCTCAAAAGTAAGTTCATTTAAAAAGAGAGAAAAAAAAAGTTTTCTCAGGAATTTGTGGCTCGTCCACTGAAAAAGAAACCTAAAAATTGTGGCCAAGTGGATGATTTTTTTTTTTAAAAAAGAGCAGATAATGGATATAATCCTGCTAATTACTTCCCAGGGCTGCCCGGGCGTTACTTTTTATTTTCAAGGAACTAAGGAGTTAAATGTGGAGTTTGGCTCGGGAGAGTTTACAGCATTGCTCTCTGTCGCAACTGTTTTGCTATCAATTATACACAGAGTGTCAAATCTGTGGGCAGTTTAAACCTCTTTTCAGATACTGTAACTGGTTATCCTGATATGACATAAACACATGAGAGTTTCCTTGGAGGGCAGGGAGAAGAATTCGCTTTTGGGGGGAAAACATTGTTTTCGGGCGAAAGCCACAATTCCTGGCTGGGAACGCTGGAAGAGACAATTTTTCATGCTTTGTTACACTCCCCGATGACATTTGGGGAAAGGGAAAAAGCAGTCTCTCTCTCGGCAGCTTTTTAATTGTGGGGTTATGAATTTATTTTATTTATTAGTGGCCATTGGTTGGGCTCGGGGAGCCCTCTGTCACAGGATGTGCTTGAAGTGACACATTTGCTAACAGTTGGGACACATGATTGCAAATGTGAAATGTGGCTTCCCAGCAAGGGCCGGTCTGGAAGCTGCCGTTGGCAGGTCGACGGGCTCATTGAGGAAAAAGGGAGTCGTTTTCCGGAGCTGAGGAAGACGTCCTGTTCTCTTCCTTTTGTTCCCTGTTTCTCATTGATCCGCCAGCGGCTCTCAGAGAGCTTGGAAGACTGCGCTGATGACCAGAACCCACTTTAACTCTCAGCCTGATTGGTCAGTTGGATAGAGACTCTGAAAACAGTTGCCCACACCTCCTTTTAAAAGCCTGCTACCATTTCAGTTTTGCTTTCTCATGCACAGATTACTGCCAGATTGAGTTTCAGTTCCGGTCCGGATTGCTTCGGAACACCTTTATGTTTAATTTTGTTGTTGTTTCTGCCCTGATAAAGTAGGCCATTGTGGTGACAAATGCCTTTGCAGGTCTCAGCCACTAGCTTAGGTGTGTAGACAATATCACTTGGCAGTACAGTCTCAATGATTTCTCCTAGTAGAATGCAAAGTTGTTCAACTTGGATGGGGGGGGAGGGTGAGAGTGAGGGGGAGGGAGAGAATTTCCCTCCCTAGCCATTTTTGAATCTAAATATTTAAAGAGCATCATCAGCAAATGGTGATCTCTACTTTGATCATTTAAGCGTCTGGTACATTAGTATGTAGATCAGGCACTAAATTTAAGTCAGCAACAGCAAAAGAAAAAGACAGCGTCAAGCAAACAATCAAAATCAGCTTGCACACTGTTGTAAGAAATTGTGGCATCTGGTTGGAGAAGGCTTGTCTCCCATCCAAGAAAAAGGGCATGCTTCACCTTAGAAGAGGAAATAGTAAATATTGTGGAATGTTTTCTCTCTCACAAGGCCTATGGACATCTTCATTTGAGCCTGAAAGTCCCTCAATTAAAGAAGCACAGTCCCAGAAGTTGTTAAGCATATAAACACTTTTCTGATTGGCTCAAAAATTTAGACACAGGAAGTGGATGGTATCTAATAACCCTTGAGTGGAGACATGGTTGTCATGGAAACGGAGAAGAGTTAACCCCCCCAACACACACATACCACACATACACTACCATAACCACAAAGAAAGAAAAAGAAAGAGAAAGAGAGAGAGAGAGAGAGAGAGAGAGAGAGAGAGAGAGAGAGAGAGAGAGAGAGAGAGGAAGAGGAAGAGAGAGACAGCGCTGGGGAGAGCAGGCAGGCTGGTTGTCAGCGCAGATGCAGGGAGAACATGTTGGCTTCTGTAAGCTTTGCCCACAGCATCTGTTGAAACCCGAGACCCTGCCTGTCAAATCAAGGTCATTTTACAACAACAACCAAAATTGCAGTCTCCTGGGTTTCGTAACTGTATTTTTGATTGAAAATATGTGAGGAACAAACGTGAAGGCAAGGAGGAACACGCAAGCTTGCCTCGCAGTTTGCTACCTGAGAGTTGGGCAAGAAATGCGAAGAAGGTTTTTGAGCTGTTAATTTGTGGAAGCCGACTGATTTGTCTGTCTCCTGCTAGAACCCAACTCTGCGGAGAGCCTGTAAAGTCCGGAATGTTCCCTATAGATGAAGGGTCACTGGGGGAACAGTCTAGTGAAGAGTCCCTGTTTGCTAGAGGGTTCAAAGTTGAACTGTAGGATCTGAGGCGGGAGAACCGTAGCATTTTAGAAGCCCGCTCAAAGGAACGGAAGAAATGAAGACTAGAGTGGGGGAGGGTATCCTGAGTAGCCAAGCAGGGAAGGGAAGAAAGCAACAGAAACGTGTTTGAAAATTGCAGTGTATTATTATTATTATTTAGTTAACTTTGGTTCTAATTTTTGGATGGAGAAGAATGCTTTAAATTTTGAGGATAATTAAGAGGTTTCCCCAAATCAAGGTTGCCAGTATTTTCAATACTTACCTAATACTTTCATGAGGGGTAGTTAAAGAGGACAAAAGTTTGGAGATCTGACTCCCATTTTGCTTTGCATGTGAAAAGTGACCTAGGAGGGCTTGTAATTTTGATTTTGGAGCTCAGCATTGAAGTTAATCACTCTCACACCAGTACTCTTCTGTTTTTCCCTCATCTTGTCAATAGCAGTCTTTCATTTTAACTTCTTGGTTTCATTTAGGAATATCTTCCTTCCAATCATGATGATTTATTGCATAGATTTGCTTCATCTTAATTGAAAATGGTCAGTTTTAACTCCTGTTTAATTAACACTTTGATCTTTGTCTTTAAAAGCAGCAGATTTCCCTTGTTTTCAGCAGTTAATTGCTGGGGGTGGGAGATGAGACGAGGTGGAAGGAATTCAAACTGTATTTGAGTGTTTATTTACCATCTTGCATCTATGCCGTCCGAGGAGATATGACTAGTGATGTAGTGTCTGTGTGTGTGTGTGTGTGTGTGTGTGTGTGTCTGTCTGTCTGTGAGAGAAAAGAGAGAAGAGGGAGGGAGGGGGAAAGAGGGAGAAAGAGATAGAGAGATATTTGGTTCTTAGGTTGTCAGATTCTTAACAGATTGGAATTTGGTGAAAAAGGTTCATTTTAATGGCACAACTGTTCTCTTTTAGCAAAGGATTTCCTGTAGGGAGCTTTCTTATCTACAAGTATGTTCATTGGCAGGAAACATGTCAGTTGCTTGTTTTTACAAAGTGAAGGAAATGAATGGGATTTGTTGGTTTCTAGAATCTGCCTTCATTTTCCTTTGTCAGAGAGTTGCTCAGATCACTGAGTTTCTAAAAGCACTTTTTGAGGAATGCAATCAGATCGCTGCAAAGCTTGGCGCTTCTGTTTATTTTTGACTTTGGGAATAGAAAAGAATTGATCATTATACTACTGTGTACAACTTATTTTACCAATACAAATGAGCAAGATGTTCAATCAAATTCCAGTTCATTTTCAGTTGTCAGATACATACTCACCGAAGCTGGCATTTTGGGGTGACTGTGCCAAATTTCTAATAATTAGTTCAGAATGCCAACCACATGCCAGTCTTGATTTTGAATTTTCATGGAGAGTAAAGGGGGAGAATCAGCTTCATTCTTCTGTTTATAAGGGGGAAAAAAGCCCACAAAAATGATAGGCAATTGGCTCTTTTGCCAGTAGCAATATTGGGGTGAGGGAGCAGTTGAAAATTGAAGGGGGCTTTGGGGATATGGGGGGGGACTGCTTTGGGGGGCTAAGTCAGTTTAAAGTCCATGTGAAAAAAATAAACTTAACCTTAAGAAGATTTATTGTTTAAAACTTTGGATTATTTTTTGAATTCTGAAAAGAAATATACTTGATTGTTTCAATTCAAGTCTGTTTCAAATCCTGGAAGAGGGAAGGGGAAAAAAAAAAAGGTGGAGCTTCTTCAAAGGAAAATCGATATATAACCCTCCTTGGAAGGAAACTGTCTGAGGAGGGAGAGAAAGAGTGCCTGGGGGAGAGAGAATCATTTGTTGCCATGTTTTTGCACATTTTGGAAGACATCATTTTTGTTTTATATTTAGCACCAAATGGAATCTTATGCAAGACCTTAATATCTGAGTAGAATAAAAAGACTCGCTCAGATCCTTTCTTCCCCTGGGCTATGCCTGGGGCACACCCCAGAACCCTACTCCCCCTGGTGAATGCAGTTTGAAAACCACTGCTTTGAAAGTGCCCAAAATATTCTCCAAGGAAGGCCCGAGGGAATGGCTTGCAGAGTCTTGGCACTTGGAGCTGGAGAGCCAACTTTTGTGGTGACAGTTTCAGAGAGCTTGTTAGGCCGAGGATTGTCCCCAGCCGAGAGATTCCGGCTGCTAGTACGGAAAGGACCTTACATGTAGGTCTGTGAGGAGGGGAGCTCAAAGTGTGTTCCCAGGGGTTACTCCCGACCCAGGGCGCCCTTGCCGTGGGAGTCGCGGGGACCCAGCAGTTGTCTGAGATTAGTTGTCATGTGCCGGAACGGTTGGATCTCTCCAATTACCACCTCAGGATGGGATCTCTCACCATTCCTCTATTTGTCAGTGAAAATTATTTCCTATTAAGTGTCATTCATGAAACGAAAGTTTGCCAAGCTATATAATCTACTTGGCAGACTCCGTCATGTTTTGAGTGTTGAGTAAAATGATAACA